ATGTATATAACCTGCGTTTATGTCTCTTAAAAATGTATTTTTAATGAATAAGTCATTGTGCAAAATTCAATCATCCTCTCTCCAGCTCCATTTCTGTCACCCAGTCCATGTTTTCCAACTACTGAATCTTCTTCTCTATTCCCAACTTTTGCATTCCAGTCACCCATTATTATCAATGCATCTTGACTGCATGTTCGACCGATCTCCGACTATAAAAGTTGGTAGAAACCTTCTATTTCCTTTTACTTGGCTCTGGTTGTTAGCGCATATATCTGAATGATAGTGGTATTCACTGGCCTTCCTTACACGCATATGGATATTATCCTGTCACTCACAATATTGTACGTCGAGATGGATCTAGCAATGGCCTTATCTATGAAAGCAACTCCATTTTTCCTCACCTTTTCATCTCCAGAGTAATATATCATATGATCATCCAACTCAAAATGCCCCATTCCAGTCCATCTCATCTCCCCAATGCCTTGTATGTCAATATTTATGCTTTCCATTTCTTCCTTAACAATATCTAATTTTCCTACATTCATGGTTCTCACATTCCATGTCCCAATCACTAGTGTCTGCTTACAACTGTTCCTCTTCCTTTGTATTTCCAAACCTGAAAGCTCAGCCTCATTTGCCATTTTCATCTATATGTGTTCTGTTGTACATAGGGTTTTTGAGGCCTGCTTTTCAGAAGTCAATGGCCAATTCTTCTTCCTAGTTTGTCTTAATCTGAATGTTCAGATTTAGAGAAATATCAGACAGACAAGCATTTACAGAAAAGTGAAAGATATGAGAAGAATGGGAATACCAGAACACTTGACCGTGCTAATAAGAAACCTATACTTGAACCAAGAGGCAGTTGTCAGAACAGAGCAAGGAAATACTGCATGGTTTGAAATGGGGAAGGATGTACGCCAGGGATGTCCTGTCTCCATACCTTTTCAACCAGTATGCAGAAAAGATTATCTTGGAGGCTGGGCTCTATGAGGAGAAATGTGGGCTCAAGATTGGTGGAAGATCTATCAACAATCTGCGATATGCAAATGATACAACCCTGCTTGCTGAAACTGAGGAGGACCTGAAACGCTTGCTGTAGAGGGTCAAGGACGGCAGCCTCCAATATGGATTGAAGCTCAATGTCAAGAAGACAAAGATTCTCACCCCTGGACAAATTGGTAGCATCAGAATGGATGGTGAAGAGATTGAGATTGCTCACAGCTTCAGTTTGCTTGGCTCCACAGTCAACACTCTTGGCACCAGCAGCCAGGAAATTAGAAGACTATTTCCACGGGAAAGTCTGATGTTAGGGACCTCTCCAAAGTACTGAAGAGCAGTGGTGTATCTTTGGAGACTAAGGTGTGTCTGATGCAGGCCATAGTCTTTGCTATCACTTGTTATGCATCAGAGAGTTGGACAATGACTAGGGAGGATAGAAGGAGAATTGATACCTTTGAGCTGTGGTGCTGGAGGAGACTATTGAGGGTACCATGGACTGCTAGGAAAATAAACAGATTTATCCTGGAAAGGGTCAAACCGGGCTGCTCCTTGGAGGCAAGGATTCTAAGGCTTCATCTAACATACTTTGGATATGTTTCAAGGAGGGACAGGTCTTTGGAGAGGGACATCATGCTCGGTAGGGTGGAGTGACAGCACAGAAGGGGAAGGCCCCGTATGAGGTGGATTGATTCAGTGATTGGGGTAATTGGGATGGGTGTATCGGAGACGGTGTGATTGGCACAGGACAGAGCAGAGTTTAGGGCTGTTGTACATAGGGTTGCTATGATTCGCAAGCGACTCGACAGCACATAATAACAACAACAACTATATATGTGTACTATATATTTGTACCATGTGTTTTGTTCAGAGAAAATCAATATGACCAAGTCAGATATGATCTAATTCTTTATGGAAATTTTGTTGCAAAAATAGAGTCACAATGACATAATTTCAAATATTTTCTTAATTAGATGTCATCCTAACTTTATTAAGTGTTTTATTGTTGTTGTATACCATAGAGTTGGAACTTCAGTTTTTTGACCCCTTTTTGGGTTTTCAAAAGCAGGAGGAGATTACCCATCTTAAATTCATGATATTAAAACCACTTCTAGGACAACAAGGAATGTGAAACTTTAAGGGAGAAAAAGAATTTTTTAAAAAAAAAGTAGAATCCCAAAGCTGAGTTCTGCAGTGTAAATACAACAACTTAATCAACAAAATATTCATGTAAGGGAAGGATTTTAGTATATTTCCTGAGTCAGAAAAATAGAGTACATGAGTAGTAACTGATAGGGTGATGATTAAAGGATTCATTTCTAACGTAATGGTCAAAAGATCACACGTTTGAACCAATCATTCACTGCATGGGAGAAAGATGTGGCAGTCACTCTGCTTCTTTCAATATATACTTTAATAATATTTAGAAGTGGTGGGGAGGGCAATTATACACTGTCTTATAGGGTCACTATGAGTCAAAATCAACTTGACAGTCACTTGTTTATTCTTTAAAAAAAAATAAGGTAAACTAAACAGTTACCTTGAGGTTTAATAATTCTGATTATCAGGATAGAGTCTTAAATATTTCTTATCTGCAGTGATAAACATTATCAAACAAGGTAAACATAAAACTACTTATAAATGAATAGCTCAGGAGTTGGAATAAAATATGAACAGAAACTGGACAGCATAAATTGAATATTGTGCAGGCTTTCCCAGGGTAAGGAGGGTATAGAATTATAGAAATATAATTCTGTCAACAAATTCCAGCAGCCATAAATGTAAAGAGATACAAAACAATGGGCTATGAGCAAATACAGGCAATCGGGATTTTCTATTGATTGCTTCTAGTTTGTTACTTAATAGTAAACATTCATTTAAGGCAAAGACTTTGTCTTCTAAACTAATAGTCTTTATTACTTGGGCATTTTAATGGCTCACCTTCAATGTAACTAAATTATTCTTACATTCCAAAACAGTAGAACGGAGTATCCTACAGCTAGGGAAGTGGGGTTTTTTTTCCATCTTCTTCATGGAGTTGTGTTGTCAGTGCCAACCCAATGCCACTGACAAGTAAACTTGTATAACTATGTTATGTTCCATCAAGTCATGTGTATGAAAAACAAGAAATTGTCTATATTACCAACTAACAAGAAAGTTTTCCCATATATGGAACTTACCTTTCTGTAGTTCTATGGAGGGCATTGGAGAGGATTTTAGCTGAATATTTTCTTTATTAAATGCTGTAAGAAATTATTGTAAATTTACTTAATTAGGTACAGGTATTATAATGGACCCAAGAGATAGTATAATAATTTACAACAGTAATCCATGCCTATCGCTTCAGAACTGACTCATCATAGCCGACCATCCAGTGGGTTTACAGAAGCTGTAAATTACACGGAAGGAGCCTATCAAGAATTGCACTGCCAATCCAAAGGAAGAGGCTCACATCCATCAGTTACTGTGCGAAAGAAAGATAAGAAATCTCCTCCCATTCACTTTTAACCCTCCAAAAACCACTGGAGGGTCAGCAGTGAGTCAGTTCTCACCCTATAGCCACAACAACAGAGAAACTTACATTTATTCAGTAAAATTCCTAAGATAATTGTCAACAAAATACATATTATTCCTAGGATTCCAGAAATCAGCCTCCATGGAGCAGTCTGAAACACTGGAAAGAAAAAAAAGAGAGAACAAAGGCTTAAAACAAAGGGACTGAAGTTTTGTTTTGTTTTGTTTTTTCATTAATTTTAATAAACATTTACAGAGATTTTGGATTTCCATTCATTCATTTCTGTACTTTCTCCCTGCCCACTCCTCCCCACCAGTTCGCTCCCCTCTCTGAAAAGAAAAAAAAAAAAATTCCTTCATTGGTATACAGTTCCCCCATCCCTTCCCCTACCCCAAGCCCCACCCAGTACACTTCTCTATACAACCTTAATTCTGGATTTCTGTGCTAACCATAATAGATTTTTAAAACAGAAATCAAGTAGAAATTTTCCGAAAAGACATTGTAACTCTGTAATTTGGTCAATGAAATATTAGAAGACACAGGCTTTCCATTCAGTCTTCACCAATGCCAACATTTTTTACGTGATGTGACAAAAAACTGCACTGCAGTCTAGAGGCACACAGTCCAAATCCACCAGTTGCTCCACAGGAGAATGGACATTCTCCTTCTGTAGAATCTGCGGCCTTTGAAAATACGTCAGCTATGAGTTAGTTCTGAGTAGACAGCACGCAACAACAACAACTTTATTTTTCAATTATTCATAGAACATCTCTGTCTCTAGAAGACAGCAAATTGATACAGAAGCTTCTGGAATAAGAAAAGAGGACTAGATTTCAACTTTATTTTGTACTTTCGTAAGAGATATTTACATTTATTATTTAAAGATGATAAAAGAAATAAAACATATAATTTCTATTAGGTAGTTTTTAAAAGTTGAAATTCCAAGTAAAAAGATGAAAAATCTGAAAGAAAAGGATGGTTACAAATTATGTGTAAGTCAATTATTAAATAACAAAATTAGGAGTTTGGGAGGGAGGAAAATAAATGTGCATGAAAGAATGAAAGCCAATGTCTTTGTGAACCTTCTCTAAGATATCTTTTTAAATGTGCTAAAAGGAAGAGTAGTCCCTTGTAGCCTTTTATGGAGTACTATCATAATTAATGTATATGAAATTAAATGTTTGTGAGTTATGGGCTTTCACATAAGCAGGCATAAAATACCCAATTCTAAGGAGTGAGTTTGACTAACATCAACTTGAGTGTTCTTCATATTTCTGCTAAAGAAATTTCTGTAAAATAATAGTTTGATTTACAGGCACAAATTATAAAGTTCAATTTATGGATATAAATTGTGGTAATAACATGATCTATTGCATGCCACTTGAGCTAATGCAAATTAAATATCATTAAATTTTAAAAAAAAAACAACACCCAAATCTTTTTCTTCCCACAGTCTCAGAGTGATTGTGTATCCATTTCTTGAGCAAGAAATTAAATTATAGTGTGCGTAGATATTGAGTCTTTTCATCATTGTCACTGACACTAACATTGCTTGTGAGTATATCTTTGGCTATTCTTAGGGTAAGCTCTGTTCTGAGAAATGTCTGCTAGCGCACAGCTCTACACACATGTCACAGTGGAGAAATGAGCCAAAAAATCTCCTGGACCTGGTGGAAGAAGTTCCACAATAAGTATACAGTTAATAACTGGATCTGAGTTCATTTCCTCATACGTTAAAGTATAATATATAAAGAATCTTTATTATGAGAACAGCACATACACTTATCCAAAATTACTTCCTGTTACCCTGACACAAATCAAACTGAGGTAATACTGCATTACCATTAGCAATCCCTCAAAGTCTTTTTCTTTTAGTTAATAATAATCTAAGGGGTCAAATTATAAAGCTGTAAACCTGGATCATCTTTGGATGTCAAATCACAACACCCTGGAAAACCATCGCAGTTTTTTTAGTTAGGTAACTTACAATCAGAAAACTAAAAAACAAAAGCTCAAAAGCAAGGTCAGTTTAAAAATGTCCACCGTTAATAATTTCTACTTTTCTTGACGTGAGCCACATCAACGAGGTATCTATCCTGGATCTCTCTCTATATATATCATATGGAAGGCACACATACCTGCCATGAGGAGTGATGCTCCAAATAGATGGAGGGAAGGTCTGAGGTGTGTTTTTTGGAGAAAGATGATGCTAGATCACAAAGCTGCACTGGAGGCTATAGGACTTGAAACTTAAATATGAAGAAATTTAAAATAAAAAGAAAAAAATGTGTATTTCAATGATGTTCTTGAATCATCTATTGTTGAGTCACATGTGTGTAGTAGGAGCAATAAGCAGCAAAACTACCACTTTCTAACCTGTTCCAGATAGCACAAAACAGGAAACTATCACTGTCCTTTCATTATATTAACGCTGTGACCAGCACCAAAAAAGTAGAGAGAGGTTTTTTAAAAATGTTTAAGTATCAAAGATATCTAAAAGTACTTTTGGGAAAAAATACACTAAAAAAAAAGTAAATCTTAATATAATAAAATTTCTGTACAGAATTTTTCTATTTATATCATAATAAATATTTTCTTTGTGCAGAACACAATTTAAAGTGATTTAAATATACTCATTCGAATTATATATTGGTTCATATTTACAGCATGGCTTGATAAGGAATATATTCTAGTCTTGATAGATGAAAAAGTGAAGTCTAACAGGCCAGGTAATTTGCCCCATGTCCCTTAAATTTAAACCCAGGTCATATTATTCCAGAGCACTCATTAAATATTTTTCAAATAAATTCTGATGCTCTGTCTTTATTTTCTAGAATTTTTATTTTCTTTTGCATAAACTAGTTAATCTAATCTTCTGTAATTTTACATTTCTTATCTCTACCTCATTAAATCAACCAGAACAGGCAAAAGTTTAAAAAGGTAGAATCAGAGAGTGTTATCTCATTATTGTTATATATTCACACTCATACATATACATGAAAATTATCCAAAGATGACTGGAGCAGTACATCAACAGTGAACTGCCAGATGTGCAGGCTGTGTTTAGAAGAAGTGGTACTTATAGGGATATTATAGCTAATGTAACACGGATCTTGGCTGAAAGGAATGTATATCTGTGTTTCATTGACTATGCAAAGGCATTTGACTGTGTGGATCACAACAAACTGTGGCTGACTCTGAGAAGAATGGGATTCCAGAACATTTGATTGTGCTTATGTGAGACCTATACTTGGAACAGAACAAGGAGACAATGCATGGTTCCAAATTTGGAAGGGTCTACGACAGGGATGTATTCTGCCTCCACATCTTTTCAATCTATGTGCAGAATAAATCATCTGGGAGGCTGGGCTGTGTATGGAAGAATGTGGCTTCAGGATTGGAGGAAGATTCATCAACAACCTGCATTATGCATATGGCACAGTCTGCTTGATGAAACTGAGGAAGACCTGAAGCACTTGCTGCAGAAGGACAAGGACTGCAGCCTTCTTTATGGATTGAAGCTCAACATAAAGAAAAAAAAGATTCTCACCAGTACGCTGATTGGCAACATTATCATAGATGAAGAAGAGACAGAAAACATTAACAGCTTTAGTTTGCTTGGCTCCACCATCAACACTCTTGGTACCAGTAGCCAGGAAATCAAAAGATGAATTGCATTAGGACAGTAGGCTGTCAGGGCCCTCTCTAGAGTACTGAAGAGCAACATCAGTCTAGAGAATAAGGTGCACCTGATACAAGCCATAGTCTTTGCAATTTCTTGTTATGCATCAGAGAGCTGGATGATGACTAGGCATTACATAAAGAGAATTTATGCCTTTGAGCTGTGGTGCTGGAGAAGAGTGTTGAATGGACTGTCAGGAGAACAAACCCATTCATCCTAGAAAGGATGAAGCCAGGCTGCTCCTTGTATACAAGTATTTTGAGGCTTTATCTGACATATTTGGGGCATGTTGCAAGGAGGGTCCAGTCCTTGGAAAGGCACATCATGCTTGAAAGGGTGGAGGGACGGAGAAAGAGAGGGAGACCATCAATGAGATGGATTGCTACAGGGACTGAGGTAATGAGGGTAGGTGTGTCAGAGTAAAGTTGGCACAGGATAGAGCAAGTTTCAGGGCTGTTGTACATAGGGTCACTATGAGTTCCATGAAACTCGATTACACACAACAACAACATACACATACACATGCATACCCTCAAAGTGAAAGAAGTAGAAACTGAATACTTTTCCATTGTTTTTCTATGTTGTTTGTACATTCACAAACACTTATGAAAGTTTATAGGTGTTCTAAATCTTCTTCATCAGGTCTAAGTGTTTCACTCAGATTAGCTTTGAAATGTTTGAGCCTTTCTCTCCAACAATCTGGTACCTTGATATCTCTTGAACTTTACTGCTGTGGTTCTATTGTCAATTGCCTTCAAGTCAAGCATAACTCATAGCAACCCTATGAACAAAAGGTCTGAAGCCCCTCTACAACTAAAAACATTTTTAAGTTCACTGAGTTTCCAAAGGCATGTTATTTAGGAAGTGGATGCCAGTCGTGCTTCCAAACCCGTCATAGAATGTTATTGGTTAAGTCACATAGTGACCTTATGTATAACAGCTCTGAACTTTTCCCTGCTCTGAGCCAGTCTCAATAATTCTGGCACACCAATCCCCATCACACCAGTCACTGTATTAATCAATCAATCTCATCTGAGGTCTTCCTCTCCTGTGCTGTCCATCCACCCTTCCGAGTATGATTTCCTTCTTCAAGGCCCAATCTCTCCTGGCCATGTGCCCTAAGTAAGGAGGCAGAGCTTCAAAATCCCAGCCTCCAAAGAGAGACTTGGTTTCATCCTCTCCAAAGCAGAACTATTTGTTCTTGTAACCCTTAATATTTGTGGTTGTTTTTGTTGTTATGTCTCATTGAGAGGCCTGCAACTCATAGTGATTGTACACACAATAGCTCTAAACCATGTGCGATACTAAAGTAATCTCATTGTCTGTGACACACCTATGCTCATTACCCCAGTTACTGTATCAATCCATCTCATCCAGGCTCTTTCTCTCATGTGATGTCCCTCCACCCTTCCAAACATGATGTCCTTTTCCGAGGACTGGTTCCTTCTGGCAACATGCCCAAAGTATGTGAGACAGA